TTGTACACCAGTGGGTAGATTTCTTCTGGCTGTTTATTTTTGGCTCATATAAATATCTTGTCCTTTTTGAGAGAATTGGATTTGGCATAATCTGTTTTTTCTCTTTGATATTTTGTTTACTCAATGTGTAACTGGGACCTTGAGTACATAATTTAGTACCCCTCATGTACCACATGTGACACGAATGACAATAAACTTGACTTGATCTTGAACTTTTGGCCACATTTTGACCTTTTTCTCAGGATGCTGAGGCTTAGATGTCATCCTGTTTATTTGTGTTGCATATTATGGTTCTTTACAATCATATTTGTTCATAATATTCAATTCAGTTCAAAAATACTTTATTAATCCCAAAGGGAAATAAAATGTTGTCGTAGCTCATCATCCTGGTGAGTTGTGAGATGCTGATAGCTGTGGGCAGGAAGGTTTTCCTGCAGTGAAGCCGAAGAATCTGGTCACAGATACCGATCCGTCCACCCGGATCCAGCTTGCTATCAGATCCAGCGGGCCTCTCAGTCCTCCTGGGCAGCAGGACTGCCCGAATGCCAGGCAGAATTCCTCCCTGAGCAATGGTCGCTACTTAAAGCAGTCTGCCGAGCTTCTCATCACCACGGACAGACAGCTGAAGGTCACAGGAGATGATCCTGGTCCTCCCTTTGTCACGAGACGAGTTTCTCACCAGCACCAGGTGGTCAGGTACTCGAGAACCGCTGCCATGTTGACGGGAATTCATCCACGGCACCTCCTTTTCAACTCATTTGGGATTTGGGGTTGTAGTTGAAGTATTTGACCTTTTGATATGTTAATCAGCAGCTCCTGATTGTTAAAAAACACCTTGTTGCCATGGTTAAGAAGATATAGAGAGGGTTTCAGAATCGGTTCAGATTTATTTTGCCCACTGCCCAATGTGAAGGCAGAGCGGTAACATTTTTGTCTGTATCTATATGTGTGTATACTTATTTGTCTGTTTCGCTGTGGCAGCCATCCTGACTTGGGTTGATGCCAAAGGTTAATCAGTTTTAGATGAACATCTATACTCTGAGCTAATCTCACTCAAATCTGTTTATTGGTTGTTGATATATTTTGTTAACAGATAAACACGGTTGACTGCAATAATTAATGCAAAAGTTTTAACCCTCAAGGCATTTTGGGGGACCAAACCTGTACATTCTGCTTATTTGATATTTTTGATTCTCAATATATCTGCTAGCTTAAAGGTGAATTGTATTATTTAGTTTGTTTACTTATCAGTTTCAATATTCCACAAACCCTTCTATTGCAAAATGTATTGAATAAGAGATTTGCACGATGCCTGCACACTCTGGACTGATTTTGTTCCATTTATTCCCATATAATGTTATAATGTGTTTCCTTACAAATAACTCTGCCTTCAAAATAAAGGTAAGACAGGTCTGTGCCTGTCTCATCTGATGCAACTCCATTCATTAGTCCATGTCTTCTGGTTACGGCCCAACAACAAGCACAGCAGTCTCTGCCCTGGTGTTAACCGTGTTACCAGTAGATTACACCTGGGATGGTCAACTCAGTCCTGCTAATGCCAGACATTGAGGATGACATAATGTAATAATAACTGTGTCCAGATAGGAAGCATAAATATCACAAGGTTCGGTCATGTTTCGTGCACTCTGGTGTCTGTCTTAAATGACCAGAGTTTTCACAATATGTGTGGGTGTCCTCACACACAACATCAGGCCATTGTAGCATCTGTACACACTACATGCTGGGCAGTTAGACAGTAGAACCCCTGGCTTCTTTCAAACCGCTTATGAAGTCCTTGTGATGCTGCCTGATATGTCTGTGATCCATCCTCTGGCTCAGCTGACCATCAGTCATAATTCTGACTGAATGTCAGAATCTCTTGATAACACCACTTGTCATGTCAACATGTATACCGCCATCTGGTGTCATTCTAGACGGTCCAGACCTGTGTAAACTGGATCATTTACAGAACCATCACTGGCTTGCATCAAAGTCAAGGTCAAGGTGTCTTTATTGTCATTCACACCACATGTGGTACACGAGGTGGAACGAAACAATGTACACGGGGTCCCAGTTGCATCCAACAAAAATACAAATTATAAAGACAAACGGTAATAAGATCCAAGACGTGAACTAAGAAATACACTAAACTAAGAATACACTAAGCAGCACTAGTACAAAACTATGCACCAAAACAACAGCAGCACGAACATGAGTCTGTGTGAGCAGATGAGGACGAATGAACACAGCAGCATGAAACAAATCAGCAGCATGAGATCAGCAGCACATAACAATCAAGTGACATTACAATGATTTTTTTCACAGTGATTATCCTGGTTAGAGATTCATGAGTCTAACAGCTTTAGGGTAGAAGCTGTTCTTCAGTCTAGTGGTTCTACACTTAATGCTCCTCAACCTCTTTCCTGAGGGGAGCGGGGCAAAAAGTGTGTGTGCTGGGTGAGTGGGGTTCTTCATGATGCAGGTGGCTCTCTTCCTGCATCTAGAGGTGTAGATGTCTGTGATGGTGGGGTGGCT